AAAGAATTTAGTTCTGAAATTAGGTCTTTAAATATTTTTTTATTTTCGTACGGTTTTTTATCATCTGTTTTAAATAAAGAAGCAAGAAATATATGATCTAAAGAAAAAATGCGGTAGGCAAGCCAAGGAAATATAAACAGCTCCAAGTTGTTGGTTTCTAGCATGTGAACCAAATGGATGATTAATGCCTAAATTGTCAAAATAAAGAAATAAAGGGAAAATGATTTTATTTTGGTGAAGCTTTATTTTTTTCTTCCTTAGCTGAGATTGTAAAAAACTATAAAATATCTCATCATTGTGAGCTAGAGTCTCCTTAGTATATTTTAATATAACATCAAAAAAATTAGAATGCTCGAATAACTGTTTCAAGACCATTGACACAACTAGAGAGGGGATTAGGGGGCTTAGCCTCTCTCAATGTATTATAGCCCCCCAAAATTTTTTTGATTATTTAAAATAATATAATAATTTAAGCATGAGATATTGAGATATATACTAAATAATACGAGTATATGACGCAGAGAATTATTCAAAAGTAAATTGTAAAAATATAAAATATTATTATAGTTTATTTTGTAATTCTTACAATCCTACATAAATAATATTGTTATCTAATAAATATGACGCACGACGGTGGAATATTGCAGTGGTGTTATGTCATATTTTATGTAAAACATACTACATAGAAGTAGGTACATGATTTTTAAGAATATAGTATGGTAATAATATTTTATGATTGTTTTTATTTCAATTACTTGAATTTATTATTATATATATTATATATTTTTTATATTCATACATGAAGATGAACTTCCTATCACTGTCAAAACTGTATGTACGATAGTATAATTAATTAAACTAGATAAATAAATTATAAATTATATTAAATAATACATTATTTAAATAAATAATAAATATTTAGATATGCCCAAAACAATTTACAGTTTGAAATAAATTTAAATATAATTAAAGGTAGTGTATTTGTATAAAAATATATTATCTAATGAATATTATAGTTATTAGAATATTTGTTGGGTTCAACTAGACTAGTATTATATGATGATGTTGGACATTCATTGCCGCTGTTGGTTACCAATACAATTTCTTTAATAGAATCATAATCTTCAATGGGATCTAATACACCTGATAACTCAACAACATTTAAGCTATCCAATCAATGAATGTATGTTGAGTTACAGGAATGTTTTTCTCATGTAAATTCTACATTATAAAAAAGAAAATATAAGAAACAAGTACCTATTTAAATAAAAGTTAATATATCTACATCATTTTATATTCATAGTTTTTCTGTTTTTAATTCTTCAAGATAATTTAAAAACTTGACACGTTGACCAATTTTAGGCAGTAATTATGAAATCATTGTTTCGGTGAGATTATAAGTGACCTTTCGTCTATTTCTTCCTCTGAAAATATAAAAAATTATACTAATCAGTTTTTTTAATTTAAATAAGGTCAACTATTTTGGTATAAATACCTTCGTAGCTATATTTTAAAGTGATTATATTACTAATTTATTTAATTAATTATTAAATTCGGTATATAGTTATATTTATTTTGTAGCTATATAAGTACCTAATATAATTGTATTCATTCTTAATATAACTATAGCTAAGTAAATATTTTGTAAATACCTATAAGAATATTAATTATTTCTGATGAAAATCCCCATTGTTTCATTTTATTATGTGTAAATAAATCCATAGTAATTTGGATTTTTTGAAAAATAATAACACCTAAATATAAAAATATAAATGCATACATAATACCAGATCGATTCTTTTAATAAGTTTTAATCAATAATAAAAATTAAACAACTACAATTTAAGATAGGATATAGAAGTGTATGCTTTAAAGGAAGGTTACTAAGTGGTATAGTTGTTGTAAACAAAACATACCTATCTACCTAACTCATAAGTATTTTAATTTTTTTATTTTTTAGTAAAAACCTAAATTATTTTAGTTTAAGTATATGCATATTATAGGTAGTGAGAGCTTAGCAAAATTATGAAAAATTTGTATTACTAATGACTTGTCTTATTTTTTTAAATGAGATGTACACTAATTTATATTGATCACTTTTTTTAATTGTATTTATTTTCATACTTCCTATATAGATTAAATATTATTATAAACATAATTTTTTAACACTCGTGTAAATTTTTAGCATTGAATATTTTAATATTCAAACTTTTAAAATTCATTTGAATTGTAATTATTATTATATTTATAAAAAATAGTATATAAAAAAACTTTGACTAAACATCACTAATAATAGTTTAGTGTACAATGTAGTATATATTATGTACATAATATGATATATGTATGTATTTACTACCTTTACAAAGCAATCAATCAACTGATAATTTAATACATAGTTTATGATTTTGACTACAAAGGACAACAGAAGGTAATAGTTAAACAGTTTTATTATAATAGATAGGTATACATATTAAAATTTTAAAATACTTATTTAGGTACTACATTCATAAGTTTTGGTTTACGACAAGGGTACTAACCAGGGTAAGTACCTGCAGATTTATTCAAATATAAATTAAACATTAATCAGCAATAAAAACTTATTGATTAATATTTATTATTAGGAATCTAATTAGTACTTACCTTTAGGGCTTGGTCCAAATTGTTTGAGCTAACCCATTAGCATATAAAATATACACTTGCACGGACACAATAAGTACAACGCGAGTTATGTTTAGTCCATAAAAATAAATACAAATGGAAATCAAAGAAAATGCATACTTTGAGTTTTGGTGTTCAATAGTATTCATAGTTTCATACCTAATAATTTCAACCAATAAACTGGTTATAGCAGCGCGTCGCTGCCGAGTGCTGGTCGGAAATATCAAAATTTCTAGTATTTATAAAAATAGACTCTACGATTGTTTTTCTGATATGAGTTAACTATATATTATAGTATATTGTATAAATTAATACCTTATAGTATAGTATTATAAATAAATATAAATTATAGTAGTTTCAACTTTCTAATTATCATACTAAATTATTACTAAAACAATTGGTGTATCTAACGAAATTATATTACTGGTAATTATAGAGTTGCAACTATATATTTTTTTTATGTCTACTAAACTCGTTAAGCAGTGGTTACTACAATATAGTTATATTAACTTTAATATCTTTAACTATAAATTTATAGTTTATATTTTTTTTTCGTGCGTGCGTACGAAATTTGCAACCCCGATGCACACCCCTTTTTTGTCCCGTTTTATATTTTTTGCTGGTTACTCTCGAGAGTGTAATATTGACGGATATAAACGTTCGTAATCTAACGAAACGACTGGAAACTGCCATTGCGGACGATTATTTATAGCACCACTTCGCTGTGTGTGTAACTGTGGTATATCTTGGAATATGCCTATCTGCTATCTTATTCGAATAACGACAAAATATATTGTGGTCTGTGTACAGTGGCGGCCCATTTCGTTTCTTCTATTGTACATGTCGTGTTGCAAACGAGCCATTGTCGCGTTCGCGAACTCGACGATTTCCCTTAGGTTTGAACACCCGCCGACATGTGCCGCGTACGTGATTATTTCCTCCCCCCCCCCCTATTTCCTACGTTCCCATTAAGAGTAACCAAATCCGAAGAGTGCTTTTGGTTCAATAACATTTTATACAAAATCTTGACAAAATAGAAAAAAGCTCGATTAAAATATTAAGTATAGCAAAATGTACAAGGGATGGTATAAATATTTATATATGGTATATGCGTGCATATGTTTACCATATGAGATATTATTATTTGATAATTAGTTATTTCAGTAGGTACATAAAACCTTCTGAGTGAATGGAATGAATAAAAGATAAAAAGTAAATAGAAGTTATTTTTTTAATTATAATACAAGACTGAAAAATCAAAATAATATAGAATAATTAATATATTAAAATACACAGCAGTTACCATATTGTACCATATAGATATATTGATATTCGTTTAAACGTTCTCGTCTCAATGTCTGAAAAACAACATTATTTCAGCAGGTTAAGTAAGGATGGTAATGAGCGTAACATATATTATTTTTACATTATAACTTAAAAATTAAGAAAAATAAAAACTGGAGTATGCTGAACTTCGTGCCATAACTTATCTGTTATTGTTTTCAAACAATATAGTTTTATATATTGGTCTAGAAAATATACGAAAATTAATAATGTATTTATGTACCTATCAGCTAGGTTGACATGTGTTTAATTATATGTAATTATTTTCTGACTTATCATCATTATTATATTCTTAATATATATATATTTTTCAAAGTATCAGGGCCTTATTATTTTTTCAGTAGAATTTTAGATTTAACTAGTTTTCACTGAACCCAAAATAAACCAAAAATTTGGTCCTAAAGCACCAAATATAACTATGCCACTGATCATTATAATTTATTATTAATTCTCATTATATATCTGTTGCTTAAAAAATTTCAACTGTATATTCCTATTTTCTATTTCATTTTAAACTACCCATGCGCTTTTCAAACATATATTTTTTGTTTTTTTTTTCTAAGAGGCGTTAAAAAGTATTATGCTTCTAAAAGGGATGGCAGCATGAAAAATGTTGAGAATCACTGGCGTAGCCGAACCATGTGCGACGATTGGCGGGCAACCAACAACGTTTGCCAAACGAGCGAACTGCGAACAATTTGGCGGTAGGAAAACGCGTCAAATGTAAAGACGAAACAACGGCACGTGATACAGTCGATATTATTATAATTAAAAAACATAATCGGTTCTGCACATAGGACACATGTATTGGAAAATCCACCGCGGCTCCGGAGCAATTCGGCAATGGTCACGTATAACAGGGTCGTAGAAAAAAAAATAAAAAATACATGGATGTATCGTTTTGATTATACGAACAAATTGAACAACTATAATAAATTAATAATTTAATGATAATAAATCAAATATTGTGAATATGATAAGTCCATTTCATTACTTACCCGTAAACCAAGGATTTCTTTTATTGTTTTCAACATTAAGTTCTAAGAAATATTCTTCGAACCCAATCACAGGATTAGCTTGAGGCTGGACGGATAAGCATCCTTCGACTTCAGCTTCATTTGTATCTGATACCATATCTCTTGCACTCCATCCATCCGAACCAATCCATGAAAAATTTCCTGTCGCATTATTTCGTCTTACTGCTTTCATTAAACTAACGACTTCTTGGTCTGACCCAAAAACGATAACACCTAAAAACAAAGTACAGTTCGATTTAATTTAATTAATTTAGATTTTCTACGTTATAGTAAAATTTATCAAATGTCAAATTATTCACGTTCACTTTTTAATTTCTTTTTAATATTGATATATTCAGTGTATTGGTTGTTATTTCAAATTATATAACATAATATATTATGTGTATGGCAGAAGAATATCGAATTTATAATATTTCAATTTATAAGTAGTATTCTCATTTTAGTTTCGATAGTCGTCAACTTAATTTCGATAGCAGTATCCTTATTATTCTCTTATTTACGAATTATCTATAATAATATCTTATCTTGTAATTACAGTTTACTTTTACAACATTGTCTGTATTTCATATTACTTACGTAATTTTGTCATCTCAACAAAATGAACATTTTACCATAAGTAAAGGCACTGAAGTAAACTCACTTACAAACGAAAAATCAAGATTAAACAAGATAAATCTCTACATCTTTTCACCAAAGGTAGAGGATAAAAAAACCAAACTATTCATAAGTCCAAATCAGTTTTCGGTTCAAGCTAAGCATGATAAAACTGACAAGAATACACATCCTTACGAATTTTTAAACTATAGTAACGACGCTATACCAAAACTATAACCATTTTACGAAAGAAATGTGAGTAATATCCATTTTTTTCTATAATATAATGTCCATACTAAACACTATAGATTTTTTTTACAGAATCAACACCCTCATATATTATCATTCCCATGTATTTCTGTGAGCATTACAGTTTACTTTTATCAATGCCTTTTAAAATACTTTTATTAATGAAAATTTATGTCAGTTTTCATAATAATCAGTCAAATGTTATTCTCCTGTTACGATTTGATACTCGAAATCTCCACCCAACTACGTCTCATCATTATCAGCTACTGGGATTATGTCACAGAAATACCTATACAATATTAAACGATTTTCGGACAAATCACATTTGCCCCTTTTTAAGTCAATATTAAAAAAGCTACTAACAACTTGGACATATACAAGATTGAATTTATTTTGAACACAAAAATAATAGTTGAAAAACCATAAAAACCAAAAGGTCCACCACAATGCTACATATGTCAGTCTTACGGCCATACCCAAAATACTACTACCACGATTCATGTTAAATTAGATGTTGGGTCGACCACAGCTAAAATTTCTGCATTCCTTGGCAGCCACCCTGCCAATTTTAAAAGTAGTCAAGAGTATAAAAAACTTAAAGTTTTATCCGTTCAATTAGTTGATATTTTTTCATACCTACTTCTTTAATCGAAACATAATTCTTCTAAACCTACTTTTAATTCCACCTCTGCAGATCCATCCTATGCTCATTTCACTTCATCTCGTAAAAATTATACACAGTTGTATTCAGCTCCATTTCCCTGGCACCTCCACTATTGAATTTTGAAATGAAACCAAGAGTCTTTTTTTGTGCATCATTTGTGCTGAAAGTCTCAAATTTTGTGCTTTTGAATTTTTGTAAATACAAAAGTTTTTCTTAAGGAAAACCCTGGTAAAGTTATATGAACTTTTGAAATTTACAATTATCAAAAAACCGTATTTTCAATTGAAATAACCTATGTTTAGTTATATTTAAAGTTCATTTTGGTTCTATAAAGATGTTTTTATTACCGTTCCCTTTCGAATTCCATCACTTAAATTATAAATTGTATTTATAATATTGCTTTAATATATTTATTTTTTTATAAAACTTTTGCATATATGTCGGCGCTCGTGTGGACCACAGATTATATGCGTGCACCCCGCACCGGTTGAGTTAAGTTGAAGGACCCTGTCTCAGTGCGGTGGGTGCGTGTCTCGCATTTTACGGTCGGCCGACCGTGCGAAATCTGAGACACGATCGCAGCGTATCATCAAATGCGCGCGTCGTCGACGGACGTCCTCGGAAGAGAAAGATATATATATATATATATACGTTGTTGCGCGGAGACCGCGGGGACGGTGATAATTTGGAGCGGCGGGAGTATCGGTCGTCGTCCAGGGAGATAAGGGAAAGCGGGTGGTCGTTGACGGAAGAGAGACTTGTGAGAGGGATAAGCAATCCGCTGACGGGACGAGCAAACCACTGACGGGACGAGCGATTCGCGAAGAGTGAAGATCGTGACGAGAAAAAAAAAATTAGGGCTGTGTCCCTTGGATACGTATATACGTGTATATATGGATACATAATATATATATATATATATATATATATATATATATATATATGTATATATATTAGCTTCTCCACGGTGACGCGGTAGAAGATAAACGAGTGTTCGGTATCGTTTAAAAGCTTGTTAAGTTCTGTGTCGATGTCAATGCGTTTTATCGGACCGGTGCAGGCTCACGCACACGCACACACGCACACCAGATGCCGCCACACTCACCATCGTCGGTTTATTACACACTCCCCCCCTGTATTCACCCGTTCGCCATTACCTTCACTTCACCTCATCTTAATAGCGACCAAATGACCTGCGAAACGTCGATGTGCAAAATTAATGATTACCATCACCGCAGTAATCCCTCTCATGTAAATTCTCTCTCTCTCTCTCTCTCTCTCTCTCTGTTTCTCTTTATCAACCTTTCTCCCGTGTAGGTTACACAAACACTTGAAGGTACCTATGCACTATCTTGCTCTCACGCAGCCTAAACGTTGTTCGCTAGAGCTGCTCAACGGGATTCATGGTGCAACGGGAAGGATGAAAGAGACGACGACCAAAACATTAACGAAAAATGTGACACCTATAACACGATTTTCACACTAAAAACTGTACTAATAGCTATTTCGGACCACGACAGTATTACGTCGTAAATACAAATAAAATTATTTGCACAGATAAAAGAACTATGTCAGATTAAAATAATTATAATCTGCCTTATTTTTTATCCAAAATTTGCCAATTTCCCATCATTTACTCTGAACGGTCCGTAATTGTAGGGACAGGACTGAACTGAAAATGTTAACAAAGGACTGAGAAGTCAGACCGAACCGATTGTTCAATTTTTTTTTCTACCGAATCGTACAGAAAATATAATATAATTTGATAGAACAAACAAACAGTTCGGACTAAAATAAATTCGAATTGTGTAAGTTTTGGATTATACCACATAATTGGTAATTAGTATAGATTTTAATTGTACAAAACTGAAAATATGTAGTACAGAGAAGTACATACTACGTAGTATATAAATACAAATTCTATCGGACGGCACTAAGTGTCGCGTCACACTATCGCGGTTGCACCACGTGGTTTCTTTCGTAAATATCATCTCATGTGTATATATGGAACGTGACACAGAGTTGGGCGTTTCCACCTCTTTCTACCACTAGCCACGGCAAAACGTCGTTGCGTGTCGCGATTTGACGGCAACGCCGCAAGAACTATTTTTGACTGCTCAAAATAAAAATCCATGGTTTTCGATCAAATGCACCACACTACAGAGGTAGCAATGCGCGTTTTCAGTATAAAATAAATATTAACAATTTATCCAAAATGAGTATTTTCAACACTGAACTTTTTATTATGGAAGTCGAAAAAGAAGAATGCTTTTGGAAAATGAATTCCAAAGAGTATATAGTGGACTGCTATGTTAAAGCAAAAGCCTGGGCCGAAATTGCTTCAACTATGTATTAATTATAATGGGAATCGAACTTACTTTTGATCTTCTTACTTCTGATGAAGAATGAACATTAATAAAAATCGAACTTACTTGTGATATTATAATATATTATAATCACTATGCACAACCCACATGGACAATGAAAATTGTACAACTGAGAAAGTTAAACCGCGTTGCCGCTTTTAGTGTGACACGAATTTACCGCACAGTGGTTAGCTACCGCGTGGTGCAACCGCGATAGTGTGACGCAACACTAAATGCAAGCCCTTCCATGTCACCCGTACCTTAACGAGAAAAATTGCGACAGTTTTTCCTGAAAATATTTTTGATTATAATTATTAATAGGTTCTTGTACTATGAATAGTTCTGAGATATACCTGAAAAATACATGAACAATGGCACAGGGGTAAAATATTGATTTATATAATAATTTACGTGTTATTAATTTTATAAATAATGTCTTTAAAATTTAAAATCGTTGTTCAATGGATTTTTAATGAACCGTAATCACCTAAAAATAATTGACCGGTTCGAAACGAACTGATCTGATTATATTTTAGAATCTAAACAGATCTAAAACGATTTTAATCTAATAATTAGACGTATTGTCTAAGCATTGTTTTGAACAATATTTGGTACGCCATTGTTTTTATTTAAATATTTCTATCAACTATTCATAGAGTACATTTTAATTATTTACTTTTAAACAATAAAATTGTTTTGTGATTAATAAAAACTTTCGGGATATTTTCTGTATGACAATTTATACTTGAATTTGATTACATACACTTAAATATTCCTTTTATTCTCTTAGTTTAATGGCCCATGTAAGGGTGGGTTGATATCTACATATATATATATTTAAACCACAATATTTTTAATGATTGGAAAAGCTTGGATTTATGGGATGATTATACATATATATAAATAATAATAATAATTTTATTAGATATCATTAATAAATTAAACAAAATTTTAACGCACAATAACAAAGTATATAAAAGAAATATGGTAGAACCATTTTAGAACATACGTATAAACATTGATTATAAATACTATAGATTGCTCACTTGGCGAGTAAACACGTTGCGCGTAAAATATATATTGCCGTTATGCAGCGTTCTCGTTGATGCTAAGTTGTTTGATAATGACGTTGTAATCGCTAGTGGCCACATCTGACCAACGCAGTGGTGGGTCTGTTGCAGCGATTTTAGGAAAGGCATAAAATTCTATAATAGACTTTAGAGATGGAAAGTTTAGTTAATTTCTGTGAATAGTTCAAATAAACTATTCTTAAGTTCACGTAGTTCACTAATTTTACTGATCATACTGATATTGTTTGGCAATGAACTATTCGTTTTATC